GCACTCCCCGCACTCTGGGTCCTGGCGCTTTTGGCGGAAGCGCCCTGAGGGCTCCACTTTTTGAGTGCAGACTTACACGCAGGGGTGTAAGTTCATTCCCCCAAGAGGAACCCAAGTCTATCTTGTAGTCAAAAAGTGGAGCCCTGACCCTGGGAGTCTTTTTTTGAGTATTCGAGGAGTCCTGCCCCCCCCCCAGCACCTGTTACCAGCCGCCCCAAACCCCCCCTCGATCCGGTTGCATTATTTGGGTTTTGGTTTCAGGGTGTGGGGGTGTTGTTTGTTGGTTGTTTCAGGGAGTCGCGCGCGGTTTCTTGCGAGTCTCTAGGGGGCACGCTATGATTCCATGAGGAGCCGCTTGCGCATTCCAACCTGGCCATCGATTTACAACCAGCTGAGGGGAAGCCAAGCACCGAAAATTCCCCTCAGACCGAACAGAACCGCCGGGCAGAAAGCCCCTTATCAACACATCGGAAATTGCGCTCAGGACTCCACTTCCCGCCTCCGGGGTACCGATGCGCAGAGAGGAGAGGTACGGACCGCTCTCCAGCAAGGTCTCCCAGTACCGCCCCCCAGCCTCACGCACGAAATCGGGCCCTCACCGGAAAAAAAATATGATGGCCGGGTTGCGACCGATGGCACGAAAGCCGGATCGATTTGGACCCCCAAAAAACACGCAACACGGGGAAGGAACTTGCAACAAAAACGGTGCCTCTGAAGAAACGGCTGCAACTTGATCCGTCTCATGTCCAAACCCGCCGCTGATCCAACAAACGACGGATGCAAAAGGATAGCTGGACATGCGCTCGGCAGCACGAAGATCGAGGTGACAGGAATGGAAGAGGATTCCCAATGTTTGGAACTCCAGATGGTCTACCTGGCGTTGTCTCAAAATCGGGGAGCCCCCAAAATGGGTGGTTTCCTTTTGGTTCCCCTTTAAAAACCATCCAAACAAGGGTAGCCTGAAAAGAAGACGCACCCAACTGGGCATTGTTTGTAATCCAACCTGAAAGGATAAAAACCTCAATTTTAGCTTGACTGCAAGTCAATTTGCCCAACATGCGCAAGCAAATCCTCACATCTCATTGATTTGCACAAATCCTGGCTTCTGGGTCAAATGGAAACAACCCCCCCCCAAAAAACAACAACACCAAGAATCTTCGGCAGCGGCACGACCCCCAATCGTCTTGCCAGCTGGGGCTTCAGCCATGCAGGTTACCGAGGGTTTTGGGGTTCGGGTCTTCGGGTTTAGGGTTTGGGGCTTTTTGGTTTAGGGTTCTAAGTCTTTAGTGAACTCTTTTTTGGGGGCACGAGGCCGTGTCAGGGCTCCGGCTTAGGAAAGACAGCACAAAACTGGGGAGCTGGGCCCGAGAATCTTGGAAGCTCGCCAATCGCGGAGGGGTGAATCGCTCGCTTCAAATGGATACCTACTCTTCACGTCCCAAGTGCCAACTAACGGTTAAACAACTTTCAAAGGCTTCAAAAAAGCCTTCTAGCTTCGCAGGTTCGGGCCACTGAACAACTGGCCAACACTTCTAAAAGAAGCATTGAGAAGCAAAGAAGCCAAACAACACAGAGTGCCGCAACCTTCAACTGGCCCCCAAAGCTCCCTCCATAGGATCGCTCTAAGCGGTTTGTGTGGCCTTCTGTTTGGTCCATTTTCTCGACAAATGGCCCCTCCTCGATCTCTGGTAGAACAATATTTTGGTTTCCGAACCCCAGCACCATGAGAGTGGGTTCTGGGAATCCCACTTTTGGATCAAGACCAGGCGGGCATTTGTTTAACCCACGCCGGTCTCGTGAAGAACGGGACGCCTAAAAAATACGCAGGTTTCGGCAACCCCCCCAAACCAAACAAGGCTCTCTACCTACATTTCTTCTTTAGCACACACGAAAAAACGCACAAGTTGGCTCCAAATCGTGGTGTTCAAAACTCGAAACCACCCCAGAAATAACGAAAATTACTACCCCAAACCTCCAGGAGAAAAAAAGAAAAGAAAAAAAGGCACCTGCCAGCAGTCCGCGGCCTGCCGCTCCGCGCGCCGAAACGCGGACTCCGTGTACCACACCGCCTCCTCGGTCTGGCCGCGGACCCACGCGCTCGTGGTGGCGCCTCCAGAGCGAATGCAACCCAGGAAAGGTGCGGAGGCATTTTTTGGGCGGAACGTTTGTTGGGGCATGGGACAAACAAGAAAGCAACAGGGAAAAACCGAATTTTCAGGGATGGTTTTTGACCTGAACAACTCAATTGGTCAAAGTGCGTTGACCTTTCGTCTTGTTGGGTCGCGTCGCCAAATGTCAAACTTTGGTCAGTAGTTGTTCATCATTTGTTTATCCTATCTTTCAGTTAGCCCATGACCCCGAGGAAAGAAACGAAGACCCCACCCTCGCAGCGCCTGACCATTGGAAGAAGGCCTCTGCCCCCAAGCAAGCAACATCCAAGCTGCCCATGCGCGCTGAATGAGGCGGGTCACTACCCCTCTTTTGGGTTGTCTTTGGCTAAGCCATTCATGTGGCGGTCTGCAAATAACCCACTTTTTCGGATTGTCACACGCAGCCTTTATGGGATTTTCTGGATGGTCTAAAAACAACAAACCAAGTGATCGAAAACAACTGGGTTTTTAAGTTGTTTCATGTCATTCGCAAAAACCAAATCATTGCAGCCATCCTGTCCATTTGGAGCACCCCTGTAACCTGGGTCGCATAAGCAAAAATAATCAGTCAGCTGAAATGTTTGAGCCAAGGAGAAAGCCGACCTGAGGCTGCCAAGCGAGAGAAACACAAAGCCACTCCGGAACCAGCTCTAGGCAAAGGTCCGTGCGGCGCAACACGTCGGGCGTGAAATCGATCCAGGGCTCCTCTGTGAGCTTGGTCCATGGAGCCCTAACAGGCAGTGGCTCTAATGCAGATGCATGCGGAACTTCGTTGGCTTCCGCCTCTGGAGGTTCTGCGGGGCGTGCGTGTGCGGGGCACGCGTCTCCTCTCGGGCAAGAGAAACTGCGCAGGCGGTGCACTTGGGCGGCTCTTCGGCCTGAAGCATACAGTCGTGTGTCACACAGCCTGCCCATAGCTGCCCATCAGCATACCTTCGGCGTCACAACTCTCATGGAGCGCCGTGACATCCTGGAGGCGATGCGTGATACCATCGCACGCAGTTACCTGGACGTGGAAATTGTCCTTGAGGACATGTTCCTTGTGCTGCTAAGCATCCGCTTCCACATTCGCATTGTGGCATTCTGCATGGTCTTCACCGCACTCGTCGCACTTGCAGCATACTTGCAAACACTACCTTCCATTTTCCAGACAAGTGATTTCTTGCGTGCCGCCTTACTGCGAACAAACTCGCAGACGGCCTACTTGCACAACGGCCAGCAAACGCACTCTGCACGCTTGCCAAAAAAGAGTGCTCTTTCCAGGTGTGTTCTTTGGCGTTTCCTACAGCGCTCACGGCAGAACATGAGTCGAGGCGGCAGCAGCCGGCCCTGCCCTCAGCTGCCTGAGCCACGCATCATGCTCAGCAGCTGAAACTCCTTCGCATTTCCGCAGTTCCCTTTTTTAGATTCAAGTGGCGGACTTTTTCCTTCTTTGTGCATAATGGCCCTGGTCAGTGACACCGATGCTGGCTTTGATGCTTTTGACGACAACGACACACTGCAGCAGTGGCCCCAATGCCACCGCATTGATGCATCCCCATATGCAGGATGGTTTCGCGCCCCTCCTCAGTGGTTGGCTACGACGCATGGACCGTGATGACCGCTTGGCACGCATGCATCGCATGGGACACCTGAGCAATTTCTTGCTCGACATCCTCAGTATCCTTGGAGTGCATGGATGACTTTTGGCATTGCACGCATGCACTCCCTCATCGCATACTTTATCGACTACGTTCGCATTGATCCGCAGATCGATGTCGACGGCATGTTCGAAAATTGCAAACAAAGCCTTGCAGGTTTCCGCATGGCAGGGAAATACCTTGCCATCATCCAGCCCTTCTCCGCACTGCTCGCTACTCCCAAGTTCCGATCTGAGCACAGCATGCACGCACACACGCAGCCCAGCTTGGACTTGTTGCGAGAATGGGAGTCAAGCCTCAGCATGCATGAAATCGCCTTGGTCGTCCGCATTGCTTGAAAGCATCAGGACTTATATAAGCGTGCTTCCTCAGCCCCGCAGCGGGCACATTGCATGCCTGCACCTGCACCTCCAGAGCATGGCATGTCCAGACCTACATCGTGCCGGGCCTCACCGCAACACGTCCTATTGCCTCAGATTCCAGATTAACAACTGCCAGTCCAAAGCATGCAAATTAGCGCATGTTTGTGTTGTTCCGAATTGCACGGAAAGTCATGATTGAGGCTTTGGCAAAGCATCGCATATATGCGGCCTAGCACAGAAACTGCTTGCTTGTTTTCTCTTTCACAGGGTAGGCCACGCTGGCTCGCACCTAGCACACTCAGGTGCCGCCGCAACCAAGTGCTTTTGCCTCAGATTGCACGCGCCGCCCAGCGCACGCTGTCAAGACTCAGGCGCGCAACCCTGGCAACTATTCGTTACGATGCATCTCCAGTGACCTGCGCGCTGTTATCTGCAAGCTGCGTTGCAGTCGTGCTGGACTGTCTTTTTTTTCCACGCATGTGCGGTCTTAGCCATTTCCGCTATTCAGCATCAATATTGCGCCATGGACGCCAGCCTGCATCATAGAGGAGAACAGGGGGAACTCCGACTTCCTGAAAGAGTTCACAGCATTGGCCAGCGCCCACATGCAATCCTGCCGCTGCACAGGATGCACCGCATGCAGACCTGTTGGAAATGGAGCCAACAGCATCCCAAGAGCCAGCTGCGGTCGTGAGACATGAAGGTACTAACACAATAACATGCCCGTGACAGAGCATTCTAGCCTGCCTCGCCAGCATTGCATCCGCATTGCCAAGCATTTTGTTCGCCTGTGCTGCACAGGGGCGCCACCCCCTTATCAGTGCGGATGCGATCTGAAAACTGCACCCAGGGGCTTTCGATCGTGTTGTCACGGCTGTACAATTGCATTGAGGTGAGGCGGTGGTGCCCCTGCTGACGCGGGGACTCTTCTAACAGAGGAAGCTGCGCTGAGGCGCCAAGCAGTGCCACTTTCAAGCTATGCAAGGTGTATGCTTGGGCCTCGTCCCTGTTTAAGTTCGAGGCTGTGCGGGGCATTCACGGCAGTTGAACTGCCCACCGCAGCATTGCCAGACCTTGAGTGTCTGCCATGGGGCTCTGGAAATTTGCAGGTGCTTCCTTAGTGATGTATGCTAAAGCAGGCAGCACAAAGTCTGGCGAAGGCAGTTCGGGCGAATTAGCTGCACTGTGAGTAACCGAAATGCTGAAACTGCGAAGCCACAAGAAGATTTTTCGTCGCGACCGGTTAACCCGAAGAGTGTGCATGCCCAGGGTTGCCCCAACTTGGTAGTTTTGGTTCATGCTGGGCCGCGCAGGGCATGTTGAGTGAGGCTGATGCCTCGCACTTGGATGCGCTGAATGTCCCCGAAACGCATGCTGGTGTGTGCTGCCAAGAGAAAGGAGCCTAACGCAATGCGTAGGCTGGGCGTGCAATCTGCGGAGCAGACTTTCTGCTCCCTGCACAAGTTGGAGTTCTCCTACTGAGAAGTCCATTGCGCGTGCAAAGGCCAGGAACACTCGTATGCAGCGGAAGTACTGGGCCAGTGTAAGTCTCTTAGCGATGCTTCGTAAGCAGCTTCGGGCGACTGGGATGTGATCGCAGTCACATACATGGCAGAGCAGGTGCCAACTTGCTCTAAAAGGTCTTTCCAGTCGTAAATGCACTTCATTCGTTGAGAATGCTGAGAAATGGCTTGGGTTTCCACAGTGGTGCTTTTGGCACGCGGAGCGGATGTTTTGACCGGAGCGCCAGGCATGTTAAGCTTTGGCGGGTATGCGGTCGCCTGAACAAGCGCGGCTTCTGCAAGAGTGGCTGGCGCTGGTTCGGGTGCCAGACTGCGAGGTGGCGGCCTACGGGCGGCTGCAGAGGACATGCATCCGGCCACGGAAAAAGCGCTGCCCGTTAACACAGCACAGGAAAACAGGAATTGCATTTCGTTGCCTCGTGGCCACCGCAGAAAAAACACAGGAAATCATCTCGTTGCTTGCCTCTTATCCCATCCACCCATCCTGCGCCCGCCGCAGGAAAACACAGAAAATGCATCTCGCCCATCTCCTACCCACCAGGAAACTCATCATTGCCTCTTCCATCCCATCCACCTATCCCGTGCCCACCGCCTGCGAGCTGGATCGCGTCGTCCCGGGTCTTCGCGGGCGGCAGAGTGCAGCTGTGCAGCGACTGTGCCCCGGCGACGGTATGTAGGCCCTGGCTGGTGCCCGAAGATGTCGCTTGCGAAGCCACGTGCAGGCGGGGGCGCTGAGCCGTGCGCTGTTTTGATGCAGCTGAGGGGCTTCTGACACTCGCCGGTCCAGGAAACGACCTCGCCCTGCGTTCCGCGAGCTAAAGTGCTGCAGCCTGCACTAAATCGATTCGCATTTCTGCAAGGCGAGCCCAAAAACAGGGGAAGAAACGATCGACGACCGACCGACGACCGACGACCGACGACCGACGACCGACGACCGACGACCGAAGACGACCGACGGCGACGACGACCAAAAACGGAAGCCCGAGGACGACCACGACGACGGCCGCGACGACGGCCGCGACGACCGACGAGGAGAATCTGGTGACCATGCGCGGTGAATGGAAGTTTCCCGAAGTGGCCTCTTCCAGGTGCGAGTTTGGGAATTCCGCGAGTATTGCCAAGGTGGCCACCATACGGGCCGCGTGTCTCGGCGGTGAAGCTCATTGAGAGAGTCTGCGAAGTGACGCAACAGACAGCTTCAGAATGCTGCAACGCAAGTGCGCCTTGTGTTGAACACCGCTTCACTATGGGCAGCGCCGCCGATCGACGACGGCCGCGACGACCGACGACCGCGACGACCGCGATAACGGCCGCGACGTCCGACGAGGAGAATCTGGTGTCCATGCACGGTGAATGGAAGTTTTCCGCAGTCGCCTCTTCCAGGGGCCACTGTGCGAATTCCGCGACTGTTGCCAATCTGGCCGCAAGGCGTCGGCGCTGGCGCTCGCCCTCGAATTGGTGATGGACCACGGGTATGCCCGCAAGGTCCCTTTCTGGCTCGTTCACAGCCAGTTTGGCAATTATCGAGTTTTCAAAGTCGGGTTCGGAAAACTCCCAAACGCCGACGACCGCGACGACGGCCGCGACGACCGACAACCAACAACCAACGCCAACCAACCAAGGGTTCCAAAAAAAAGGGTTCCTTTAAGAAGGCTTGCAGCGGGGCAAATTGCCAAACCGCACATCGAGGGGTCGATATAGTGCAGGCACGAGGCAATTCCGCCTGAGTGTGATCAAACAGTTTATTTTTTGCGCCAAAACGGGTCCGACCGATTCCCTGGACGCAGGGAGGGTTGAAGAGCCTCTCAAAGAACCAGTTTTTTCA